GACTCGATGGCGTTCTGATCTAAACCGTGTGGTTTTAGTTGTGATGATGACGATCGCCGTGACGACCATCGGTGTTAATTAGTCACTTTAACTAGAACCATGACTGGAACCTTTTTGTTTTTACAGTTCTGGAGCAGACGATGTCGTCGTGCCAGCCGGGCTGTCGGATGAGAAACGCTTCCATGTGTCGCTGTGAAGTGCAGCTGCAGGCGACGCACTGAGTCGTTTAGTTCTAAGCGCTTGTCGAGATGTTTGATCACAAACAGAGGAGCTTGATGGAGCTTCCTCTGGACAGGAAGTCTTCAGAGCGTCTGTACAGGTGCTGGTGGTCCAAACCTTCCGACGCCGGGCCGGCTAACGGGAGTGACTAACGGCCAGCGGAGTGGAAGCACAGACACATGCCGTCCATGTTTAATTGCCGTGCAGCGAGTGTGACTGTTGGTGCGCGGCGTTGGTGTGTCGGTGGGACGAGACAAGGGAGCACATATGGCCCGAACAGTCGGGGACGGAGCTCAGAACTCCCACATGACCCGGTAGATAAAAATAAAGATGGGCGGGCGAGAGAGGAGCACAGAGAGAGAGAGAGAGAGAGAGCTGGCCTCCAACGTAGAAACGAACCACGAGTTGGAGGAGGTTCGTCAGAGCGCCGACGGTCGTCTTCGTAGATCTGACTCATCACTTTGGGTCACGTGCTGGTCATAGTTTGATGGGAGTCGAGTGTCAGATGCTGGAGATGGAGTGTTGTCACATCTTTTACTCACTGTGGGCTCTTTTTTTTAAAACTGCAATCTAAAGTCCAGTGGAAACAACACGACCACGACTAGAAGCAGAGTCATAACAATACAATGTTCGATTATTTATTTTACAAACCAACACTTTTCCAAGCAGGTCCAGGTGTCACCAGCACTGTAGATATAAACGCTGACTCTACACACTGCAGATATGTTCCTGTTACCTGTCTGCTCTGTGTGTACACGGCCTGCAGTTCAACCCAGCTCAGTAAAAACTCCCTGAATTTTCCTAACGTCACCGTTGCTCGTAGCTGACTTGCTGATAGCTTCACTGTTGCGTCGAGAAGCGCAGAATTTTTTGTTTTTTGCAGAATATTTTCAATGCAAACTAGAAATTTTGGGCAATTTTTTAAAAAGACGACACGCAGAATGGAGTGATTTTGATGGAATGACGAGCAGCTGTTTGGTTTGTAAGAGGTGTGATTTTGCTCATGTTTTAACGATGACACACTTTTATTTCTTGCACGTCTCACTGACTTTCTTTACAGGAAGAGTCTTCACATGAAATCTGAAAGAAAATAAACATCTCACATCACAGGACGATCAGTTTGTCGCCGTTATCAGCTCCTGCTTGAACAGTTTGAGCCGTGATTCACGTATTCTACACATGACGGCTGTTTCACACATCACACGCTTCAGTCGTGTTTATTTGACGCAGTCGTCGTGTTTTCTTGCAGCGTTTTTCCACCAGTTGCTGTTGTTGTCGTCATTTTTGTGTTTCCTGTTTTTGTATTTGTTTGTGTTTGACTGTGTTTTCTACATTTTGTTGCGTTTTGTTTGCAGCTCATTTTGTTTGTTTCTGTTTTCTCTGAACGCTGCAGCTGAGTTTGGGACTTTCTTTGTGTTTCGTCGTTTTGCAGCATATTTATTTGTGTTTTTTATAATATGTTTGTGTGTTTTCTTTTGTTGTCTGTATATTTTGTTGTGTTTCTGTTGCTGCGTGTTCCCTAAAAGCTGCGTGTCAGTTATGAAACTGCTGGAAGTGTTTCTGTATTTTAGTTTTTTTTTAATCATTTCCATCTTGTTTTACAGTGTTTCCTTATTTTGCTGTTTTCTAGATGTGCAGCGTTTCTGTAATTTGTTTTTCACTGTTTCTGTATGTCCTTGTGTTTTTTTTACATCTATATTTCTGTTTTCTGTATTTGTTGTGTTTATTTATTTATTGTTTTTAACCATTTCTGTATTTCGTTGTTTTTTCTGTTTAGTATTTTTCTGTATATTTTACTATATTATTATATCAACAGTTTCCCTGAAGCAGCCACCAAAGGGATCAATAAAGTTCTATCTAATATTTTGTTGTTGTTACTTGTTTTCTATGGTTTCAGTGTTTTATTTTATTTTTATTAATGTATTATAAATATATTATTTTTATAAATATATTACTATTCGCTGCATGTTTCTGTGTTTGGTCGTGTTTACTGTGTTTTGTCATTTTCATGTAATTTCTATTATTTGTGGTTTGTTTTAAGGTGTTTCTGTGTTCATCGTATTTTGTATTTCCTGTTTCATGTTTGTAGCTTGAGCTGCGTTTTGTGTATTTGCAGCTTGTTTGTATGTTTTTGTGTGTAGTTGTGGTTTTCTGTTTGTTGTATGTTTTTATTTTGGTATTTTTTATCACTTGAAGCTTGTTTTGCCTTGTTTCTGTGTTTTATCCTGTTTTCTGTATTTGTTTTTCGTATATTTCTCATATTTTGCAGCTTGTTTGCTTCGTTTCTGTTTGTGGTTGTTCCTGAATTCTTTGTCTCTGCTGTTAAATTGTTGGAGATATTTTAAAAATGTCTGTTTTTCTGCCGTCTGTTTTGTATTTTCTTATATTTTCTTTAACTTTCTGTTTCTCTGGTTTGTTTCCTTTCTGTTTTCCCTCCTTGCTGCCTCTCTGGTGTCAGATTACTGGACATATTTTGATCATTTTTACCATTTTGCAGCCTGTTTTTGTCTTTTCTTGTGCTCTCTATACTTTTCCTTCCTTCTGTATTTACTACAGTTTAATCTTCTCTGTGTTTCCTGCAGCCTGCTCTCCTCTCTGGTGTCTATCTACCGCAGACATTCTCCTATTTTGCTGATTTTTCTGCCCTCCCGTGTGTTTTTGTGCCTTCGCAGCGCTCTGAGCTCTCCGGGCCTCCGTACCGACCTATGCGGGCAGCACAGGCAGGACAGGTGGTCGCTGGGAGCGGCTCCTCTCCGGGATCCACACCGGGTTTTCGGCGCGTCCTCCAGCGGGCTCCTCACAGCCTCTCGCTGGCTCGTACTCGGCTCCTGTCCTGATATCACTCCGCTGGCATGGTGGAGGAGCGGACCTGATTATTGTGATGGTGGCAGGCGGCAGCCAGTGACTACAGACTTCCGCCACTGCTTCCATATCCGCGTTTAGCGCCGTCGGGGCTCCTCGATCCGCCGCTCGACTGGACTACCGAGGGCGCCTGAGCGCTTCCCCCGAACTCGGCAACATCTTCACCGGGATTTCTCTCAAACCAAAACCATATGAGATGCAAGTTCACTGGGAAACTCCGGAGCCCGTTCGGTTTAGGCAGCAAAACTTTTTCTCAAAGGACAACACCGTGAAACGGCGAGCGGACTGTTGCCGCCGCCGCCGCCGCTGCTGCTGCTCCGCGGGTCGGGCTGAGTGCGTGTGACCGCCGGCTCGGAGCTGCGCCGCCTCGGCGTGTTTTTCCCCCGGAGGAGTTGTTGTTTGCAGCGGCGTCGGTGTTGAATCCAGTTTGGGGCTTGTTTCGGGTGTTATCCGCCGAGGAGCCACATGACCGCTCGGCTCGCAGCCCTTTAAACCTCCCGCTCGTCGCTCGAACTCTCCGGCGGCTCCGCGGACCTTTTCGCCGAGGAGGACGCGCTCGGAGCGGGGAGCCTCGCTGGTGGAGGTGGAGGTGGCCGGAGGAGGAGGAGGAGGAGGCGGCGGCGGCGGCGGGGACTGGGGGGAAAAGTTCTTCCAAAATAGCAGCCGCTCGGCGCGGTGATGGGGGACTTCGCCTCCCCCGCTGCCGGACCCAACGGCAGTATCTGCATCAACAACAGCATGAACCCGGCCGCCGGCAGCGTGGTGCCCGCCGGGGCCGTGGGCATCCCTAAGCACAGCACGGTGGTGGAGCGGCTCCGGCAGCGGATAGAGGGCTGCCGGAGACACCACGTCAACTGCGAGAGCCGCTACCAGCAAGCCCACGCCGAGCAGCTGGAGATCGAGCGCCGGGAGACGGTGAGCCTGTACCAGCGGAGTCTGGAGCAGCGGGCCAAGAAGTCGGCAGGAAGCAGCGGCGGCAGCAGCAAGCAGCCGCAGAGCAAGCAGCCGGACCCGGACTCTGCGTCCTCCACGGAGCAGAGGAATAACACGCTGATAGCGGTAAGGACGGCGGGCCAGACATTAACACACACCGCGCACACAGGCGGCAGCTCCACCGGGTCACCGCTGCTCCACTCGGGCTTTTGTTTACAGGAGACAACAGGCTGCTGCTGCTGCTCAGCTGCTCGGCGGCTGTTGGGCTGCACAACTTTGCAAAGTGCTCTGATTCCCAGCTCACAAACTTGCAGCCAACTTCTGGATAGTTTGCATGAAAACAACTTCTCTTTTTCGTGCTGCTTCTTTGTTTTCCCCTCCTCCCCTGTTCTTGTAGCTGTAGCGTTGCAACACCGCTTCCTTGCAGCAGTTGGCCTGCACCCTAACCTTTGTCACACTCTCTGAGAATCAACAGTGTTTGCCCACAGTGCTGCAGAGACCTCAGCACGGCCAGCAGAGTGACCTGGCACCAGGCTGGAGGGTCACTGCAGCCTGTCAGAGCCTCACACCTGATCATGAGCAGGCTTTCTGCTTTTAGACAAACTGCACATTAATGGCACTGATGCGTTAGGAAGTCCTGTGCAGCCACACTGGGTTTAATGGGAATGCTACGGTGGTTTCCTGTTGGCAGGGGGCAGTGGTAACATATGGAGGGCTGTGTGGCTCCTGGTGAGGATGATCTTGCACATCACAGTGTTGGTTTGTGGGAGTCGGTGTCTCCTGCTCGAGCAGACCAGAGGCTGCATGTGGGGAATGTCAACACTGGCGTCCCTTTTGTTGCTGCCGTTCCTCCCTCCCCTCTTTTGAAATGCAAAAATCAGAGCGTCTTTAATTTCTGAGCCAGTCGTTGTTTAAGAGCCACGCAGGCCAGAAGCAGCTTCAGCAGCGGTGGAGGAGGAGGAGGAGGTGGAGGTGGTGGTTTTAATGGTGCAGGAGCTCCCAGCGGCCCTTGTGGACATTAAACCGAACCGCCCATTAGATGGCCGGCGACAAACGCTCTGAGAATGGAAGGATTACTGCTTAAAGACACAGAGGCGTCCCCCGAGCTCGGCCTCTTGTCACCGGAGGCGACACCTTGTATGCAAACAGTAGCCGAGAGCACACATTAGCAGGCTTCTGGTGCTCCTGGCAGCTGAAGGAAGGAGTCGCTCTCCGGCTTCTTCCCCCCTCAGACGAGCAGAGCTGCAGCTAGATGGCTGTATGTAGTCGCTCCAGAAGCAGGCGGCATTCTAGGAAAGCCAAGTGTGCTGCTGGTGTGACTGCGCAGACATGCATGCACCAATTCCCAGGAGGCGGGAGGAGGAGGAGGAGGAGGAGGAGGAGGGGAGGCCTTAATCTGTAGGGTCTGCAAACTGCTCTTTGAAGGTGCGTTTGAATGCAGCTCCACCTGATCTCCTCCACGGAAAGTTCAGAGGCTGGAGGAGGCCGAGTTTAGCTGCAGGTTCGGTGTCGATGCCGTAATTACAAGCTGCAACCAAAAAAAAGGTGCGAAACCTGTAATTTCCAAATGCAAATAATGCATTTTGGTCCAGAGCGTGTTGAACATCCAGTGTTGTCGTGTGCATCATCATCATCATCATCATCATCATCCCGGCGCTTTGGTGTGACGGTTCTCAGACACACCCACGTCAGAGCAGGGGGCGAGCCTGTAATTATGGAAAGTGTGTGTTTGTGTTTATGGGCTGGCTATTAGCGAGAAAGCAGCAGAAGGAGAAGGAGAGGAGGAAGATACTGGGATCCAACTGGGATCCAGCACATGCAGCCACAAGTAGAAGTTGAGAAGCAGCTGCTGGTCTGCTGGTTGGACCGGGACGGACCGGTGGTGACGAGAGCAGAACTGTGTTTACAGTCTGAGAGCCTCTGCAGTGTTTGTCCTGTGTTTAGTTCAGAGTCATCGTCCACCGACGGCTGTAGTGTGCAGGAAGGGAAACATGTTCAGTATTAACCCTGTGAACCATCTCCTCCTCACTGTGGGCTCATTCATCAGCTCTGTAGAACCAGAACCAGACTAGACGTACAGAGAACTTCACTGGAACAGAGTCGTGGTATCATAATGTCGTCATAATGTGAGATTATTCGCTTTACAAAAGTTGAAGTAAACAACTGGAATCAACACTTTTCCAAGCAGGAACAAGTGTTACCGTAAATCTAAACGCTGACTCGACACACTGCTCTGTGTACACGGCCTGCAGTTCAACCCAGCTCAGCAAAAACTCCCTGAATTTTCCAAACGCCACCGTCGCTCGCAGCCGAGTCGCTGATACCTTCACCGCTGCACCGAGGAGCGCAGAATTTTTCTATTTTTGCAGATTATGTTTAATGCAAACTGTCAGTTTTTGGCAAATTTTTGAACCATAGAAAAGAGCGATTTTGATGAAACATCACAAGTCAGACGCGTCTTCTGTGCAGCGAGATGCAGTTTTGACACCATGATGATAAAAAAAATAGAATTTATTTGATTATTTCTTATTCAGAAATGAAAAAATGTCCCCACATGAGTTAGCAATACAAGAAGAAGTGACTCGACAGACTGTGAATATTTCAAATTCATGATTTATTTCCAAACTTCTCTTCTCTTACACCGCCTGCAGGTCAACCGAGAAGTCCTTGAGTTTTTGTCTTACGGCTGAATCACTGCAGAATTTTTTACTGTTTTTAACAAAAGCGATTTATTTGTGGTGAATTTTTTTAAATGAGTCACGTCTTCTTTCTGCAGTTCAACCAAACGTCCCTGAGTTTTCGTCACGAGACTCTGAGTCACGTCTGAGTCACCGAAGGCTTCACGGCCGCACAGAGGAGTCACAGTTTTTTAGTTTTAACAAACCCCAGACAGAGAAAACGATTTATTTTTGATGAATTTTTAAATGAAACACGTAGAATAAAAGGATTAAATAACGTGATTTTAGGCTCAGATTTGGATAAATTTCCCCTTCAAAGCTGATGAGTAGTTTAAGGACTGTGGGAAAGTTGAAAACCCACTGATTTTTTCTTTCTGTTTTTTTTTTTGGACGCTAAAATCCCCGTAAGGTTTTATTTATTTGTCAGCAAACATAGTTTTGAATCCAGAACCTTCACATCATTGACGTTAGAGCCCAATAACGAACGGTTAGCGGCTTAAATCAGGTTTTGACAGTTTTTCAGACGCGTTCGTTTCCGGTTCAAGCGTCTCTCGTGTGAAAACGTTTTGTTTTTTTTAGCCGCACACGAGCGTAAATTAAATATCTTTGGGTTAAAGTCTGCTGTCGGGGGTCTGGGAAGCTGTAAATGTGTGTTTTTCTTCGCGGGCTGAACTCTTACTCAGAGCATAATTGGCGCGCTAATTGATAATGGAAATAATTGCCGGCCGCGGCGTCGAGCGCTCGAGTGTCTGCGTCGGCGTTTTCACACCTGCAGTCGGCGCAGAAGGTCAACCTGCAGGGCCGAGCATCCTCCCAACGCAGCCCCTCCATGTTCAGAACCGCTGAGGCTTCGCGGTGATGGATGCAGGAGCAGCGAGTCGGGTTTAACTGGAGCTGATGTCAGGAACGTCGCAGGAGGAGAAAAGTCGCTCCGTCTGCAGCAGAGCATCCAGGTCCTCTTCCCCCCGAGATGAGCTCCAGCGTTTGATTCTGGACCTTCTCAGATCCTCTGATCCCGTTTTGTTGTCTTTCTTGTCTCGTTTCTTTTCTAAAAAGAGGATCTGGATGACGCAGGCCGATTAAATGTCATTTAAAGTGACTAGCGGAGGGGAAACATGCTGGTGTTTAGATTGTTTTTCTGGATAAATTCACCTTTTTAGCTTCAGAGCGGTTCTTTGGAGGGACCGATGTGGCGTCAGAGGAACGGTTCAGCCCAACAGTCCGTCAGCCTTCGGTCTCAGGGCTTCATGGTTTATACAGGGGGAACAGAAGTTCAGTTTTATTTGGACCAAGCACTTTATTTCTGTTGATATTCTAAATGTCTACTGAACCTTGCAGATGATTAGTTTGAGGACTGTAGGAAAGCTGAAAACCCACTGACTGATCGATATCCTCATCGGTTGGACTCTTTGGCGTGTTGATGTCATGAAGCTCCACATCAACAGGAATGATCCGTTATTGTTGGTGTTCTGGAGACACTAAATCTACCTTATTACACATTTACTGAGTGTTTCGTGGAGTTTAATTGATGCAGCTGCATTTTGAGCAAACAAATGGACAAAAACTTTGCCAACAGCAGTTTTTGTTTTGTGTCACAACTCAGCAGCAGGTCATTGGTCTGTTTTAATCCTCATCAGGTCACCAGCTGATGAACTTTTATGAATTCGTGCAGCTAATCTGCTCAGAGTCTCGTTTTCAGTGGAGAACAATCAGGTTATAATGAGTTAATACTGGCTGTTTATGTTTATTCCTGATTGGCTAAAGAGTGCAGCTCACGGTGGCTGATTTGGTTCATCTACAGACTAATCGGTCGGTTGATTCGATATTCGATCCTCCGCAGCACCACCAGTCAGAGCAGAGACATCGTTCATCGATACGATCGGCGTTCGTTCGAGGCGTCTGAGTTTACGTTTCTGGTGCGTCGGTCTTCCCACCATGACGTCTGGCGGCCGTCGGCGAGCAGGCGTGGACTTGTTGGTGACTTGTGTTGGAGGAGGGAGAATTAGGAGGCCTGTCCAGACCGCTGTCAGCGGAGAAACTATCGTGCAAAGTTTAGAAATGTAAATCGATACCGAACCTGATGTCTGGCAACGAGTCTGATGGTTGAAGACGAGAAGTTCATCTGCACTGTAAAGAAACTGTAAAAATCTGGCAACAAAGGAGCAAAAACATCTGTTAAACCATAAATCCTGTCATGTTAAAAATCTGTTAAAACATGGTGAAAATATTATATCTGTGGAATTATGTTTTTTTGCTAATTTAAATACAGAAACACAGCGGTTTTACTGCGGTCACGTGTAAAATAAATTTAAATTAATGAATTAGATTTTTGATGTGGACGTTATTTACAGTTTAAAATAAGATTTATATGCAGAGATTTTTCTATATTTTATCTCCTATTTTTCAAAACAGGTAAAAAATGTAAAATTGACTATTTTTTAATGTTTA